TCTCATTTCGTCATGTACTTGCTCCGTCTAGAGCTTACGTAAATAGAAGGTAGATTATATATAAAACAGCATAGGTTAAAATGAGAAGCAAAATCATAATCAACATGACTTGTTACAGAAGACTGACTGTTGCCACGGCTGCTACTTGCCTAGAGAGAGACCTGCTGATCAGAACAAACAAGAAAGCCTGATATAGGCATGTTGGCAAATTTTGAAAGTTAGGCTGCGTTTTGTTTGTCCGATGCTTATAGTGTCATTAGTAATGCAGTTACCTTCCCGTAGAGTTCTACGGTACTAACCGAGTTAATATATTTTAAGGTTGCAATAAACACTAAAGCACCAGTGGTGATAAGTTTTTTTTTTTTTTTTTTTTTTTTTTTTTTTGCATTATTTTAAGTCTCACTAAATATAAAGAATAAGTGTTACATTAATTTTTACATTTTTGTGCTGCATCTTGTGACCACAGTAAGGATTAATGAAAGGCAATAACTCATTTTAACGTGCAGACATAACTTTTAAGGATGAGCAGTTAGTCACAAATAATTAAATTAGGTGGTTAGATACTCTTAGTAATTATAGATTGGCATTTATTTTTTAACAATATTTGTCAAGACACAACAAAATATTTATGCATCTTTTCAATTTGAAGCCTTTCCAGACATTTTGGCTAATTTATATCAATTGATTCTCGTCAAGCATCTTTCCTAACAATCAGGAATTCGTTTCAATACGCAAACTTTTGTTCCCGCTAGTTTCTGTGTGATTTATCTCCTAATTTATCAATCTCTCGAGAACATATCTATAAGTTTTTACTTGATATTGTAAAGGTTAAGTAGTCCAAAACTCCTGACGAACGTGAAATAAATTATCGCCATGTCTGAAAGTAACTGAAGAGTCAGAGAAAGGTTTAAATTAACCTTTTATTTTAACATAACTGAGAACATAAAGGCATGTTCTTATGCTAACAAAATGAACTAGAGCTCGTGGTGATGTAATTAAACAGGAACAGTCAAATTCAAACTAAAAATGTGGACTAGTAGTCAAAGACCATACAATTTAATTTTAATCTAAGCTGCCTCAGTAATTCAAATGTTGGCAGTGATAATTTAAAAACGAATAATTTCAAATTATCTGAGCTAGCAGGAACTACTGCATCATGCAAGCAGAGACCGAAAACATACTTTGTGTTACAAAACAAAAACTTCAGTTTATCACTATCTAACTGATTTGCACTCTTGTGAGGAAACGGAATGGGTAAGTTATAATAAAGGCTGAAATTATAAACAGCTCGTCAATTTACATAATAATAACTGTACATATTTTTAAAGAATAATTTTCTTTCTTCAACGCGTTTTCCCTTCATTTTAGAATTTTGGGATTTATTTACAAATATCCGTTATCCTAAAACGCTACATGGATTTAAAACGTATAGAAAAAGTTGCTAATTATATTTCTTTAGTAATATGAACATTCAGAATAAATATGAAATGATATATGCTCAGGGCTGGTTACAGAGCTGGTGTGGCAGAATTTAGTTAGACTCTCAGCAACAAAGTCCAGAAATGGAAAAAAGTTTAGAATTCAGAACTGGCACTGACAGAAAAATTTAGGATCCCTAGAGGATGGGAAATGCCTAACACCATCCCTGTCTACGATGTATTGAGACATATATAATGAATCCTTTAAATTATCAGTTTTCAGTTTCTTTATTAATAGGAGATTTCCTTCCTATAAATGCCTGTCCATGTGAGAAGATTAGAAGCATTTTTTATATTTTCCATGCTTGTGTTTAGTGAAAAGTAGACAGAATAAATGGAAGATAAATATGCTAAGAAAAAGACTTCTAGAATCAGAAGTAAAATCTCCAAATATTATTTTTCATTGTTCTTCCGAAACTCTCTCGAAAGTCAGAAATACGATTAAGACATTTTTCATTTCGTTACATTTTTGTGAGATCTTCTAGAATCGCGGGTGTATAAATCTTAAAATCCTTCTGCACTTTCTTAAAACTTCAATCACATCCTTCTAAATTTCAAGTTGCAATGTCTAAAATCCTAAAAAAAAATTAACGCTACGAATTCTGTAGCAGCAAAAAGCCAGAAATATTATGACAAAATTTAAAAAATGAGAGGGGAAAAAGTGTAAAATTGATTTTATAGAGAAAACTGATGCATACTCTGAGACAATTACATGCGGAAAAACTCTGAAAAAGCTAAAAGAAGACATTTTTACTTACTTAGGTAGCTTTCTTGCTTTTGCTAAGAACTGTTTCGTAAATTGTGTTTTATAGCATTTATTACCTTGTTTATTTTTCAGATTAAAAATATTGTATAGCTAGTCCCCAAAAGAGAAAGTAATGTCACTTTATAATATGAGAGCCAAAATAAAAATGTTATACTTTAAAGTTATTTCTTAAATCTTAATTCAGTATATTACCAATATTTTAATGAAATTTATTAATGATATAATGTTTTAAAAAAACAACAAACCATTCCCAGATCGCCTAATTAAAAATTATCATTAGAAATTAGTCTTAAATTCGCCAAAATATTCATTAGTCGCCATATTTAGAACTATTTAATAAAAGAATTCAAATCCCGAAACGCGACAAGTTGTTTAAGATCTTTTCTTTAAAAAGAATGAAATAATTTCGAAATGCTTATCTTTCACTTCTTGCACGGAAACTCGAGTATCGCACCATTTATATAAGAACCAGGAACAAATTATAAACCATTCATAAATTCAAAAGATAACCACTCATTATCAGTGAAACGACAAAAATATTCCTCAAAAATGCTAATTCACATTCAAAATGGCAGTCGTAAAAACAAATAGAATTTTCAGATTAACATTAAGGACCTTCTGCCGATTTCGGTCGAAATTAAGGATTTCTAAGGATCAAATAATCGATTTCAAAGAACCTAAACACACTTAAGGACCGTACGAAGCCTGGACTTTATCACAGTGAGATCAAAATATATTTCTTCGTGCTAAGATATATGAATACGTTTTATTTTGGTTCTAATCCATTTGAACACATTCCGATTAAAGGAATTTAGCCCACGAAAATTTCTTTTTGAGTTCGCACTTTTACAAGGTGAACTTTCTTCCCCAGCTGCTGAAGTTATCCCACACATTTTAAACTTTCCGTGGAAATTCATGCGTTCATTTTGTTTCTAGTACCAATATATGAGTTTTACTAACTGCTTTATAAAATATGACACTTATGTTTTCTGTTAAAGGTAATCCCGTTAATACTGTACCTCAGGTGTATAACGGAGTTTCTATGATTTGAAGCTCAAATGCTCTTTGACTAGAATAATATTTCACTGAAAAAAGTCAGACGCAGTGAAATAGGGCACCAGCAGAATTCCATTCTTAATCTGAGTGAAATTTTTCATCTCTTAAAACCGATACTAATAACATGCTGGACTTAGAAATTAGATGGTGGGAAAAAAAGAAAAAAAAAAAACTTTCTTTACTATCACAAACTATTAATTAACAAGTTTTCTTGCATTATGTAGTTCGAATATGTCTCGCACTTTTGCTTCCATATTTACTGCACGTGCCCGTTAAGTTTTATCATTTAAAAATAATTTTTCTTTTTAGGAGCATGATCAGAATCGAAATATCGGTTGAAATAATCCTTTAAAAACTCTTCTGTTTCATCTTTTGTTATCCATCAAATTTTCTAAAAAACATGTATGCTTCACTTAATATAACAGGTTTAATGAATTATCATGCGGAATTTTCAAAGATGCCCAGAAATAAAATAAACATATATACAAAAAGCCAACTTTAATCAAAAAACTGCCAATTTCTGCACATTATTAATATATGCAAATATCTTTCTGCATATATTAATAAAGTGCATAAAAACGGTGATGTTTTACAGTCATGCTTATTAGTACACATTATTGGTATTGCACGATCATTATTCAACAAAAATCTAATGATGAACAAAGTGAAAATGCCATGCATCTTTCTTCCGCAACAGCCACACTACCCTTCATACTCTCTAGAATTATATTCAAGGACTATGATTTATCCCTTAAACTCAACGAAACCACTAACCCACATTCATATTCACACAATTTTCAAAATTACTCATGAAATTCATTGTTTCATCCTTGACATTGTAAGGATTATCTGAATTTATCAAGCAGTTTAATTTTGAGTTAAAGTTACTTTCCTGTCTCTTCTTAATTTCAAGCTTACAACTTCCGGCCAGAACGTATTTTTAGAATCGCGTTTGAGTGCAAATGAGGAGGAGTATTTAACTGTGAAGTTCTACTTACTTCGTTAGAGAGCCTACGGTTCTGACTATCGCGCGTTCGCCTTTTTAGGCTACTCTCTCTCTTAAGCTATTACTAAGCTCGGCCGTACTTTAGGCCCTTGATAGCTTTGCCATTAATTAGCGTTAAGGGGCAAACTCTGTTAGAATCTTGATCTTTTTAGTTTATGTTATATGTTTTCAGTTAAGGTTAGTTAAATTTTAGTTCTTAGTTTTCTGAGTTCAAGTCCAAGTGGAGGCGTTATTGTAAAACTCCAAAAAGGAGTTCTGTTAAACTTTATTGGAATAATAAAGGGTTAATTTAAACTTCTTACGTTCTGTTTGTTCTCTGTCTCACGAACTCAAGCGATTATTCGCTTATCAGTTCCTAAGATTCCCCAACTTAAACAATTAGGAACAATTAGGAATCTTACAACATCAACAAATACGGGCCTGCCAACATCAATATAAAGTTATCATTATGAAACAATCAATGGCAAAGGATCACTGATAATGCTGGAGACGGACAAAAATTACTGTGTTACACTGCACAATTGTTATCACTATAAATTTTCTAAAATGACAAATAAAAACCTTAGATTATTAAAATATGCAAAATTACACTTTTCAAGCATTAAAACAGAACTGCCAATCTAAAGTGTAAAGAATTAACTAATTTAAAACCATAAGCAAATTACTTAAGTTTTCTAGTAGTATAAGCACTTACCTCTGCTGATCCATTGTTTTGAACTCGACAAACTGCTGCCTCTGGAGGACATGAGTTTTTTGGAAGTTTCTGTAATGAGTTACACATGCTTATGTAATACGATGCATTATCATTCAAAACACTAGACACTGCCGATGATATGTATCTGCTATGCTTGAGAGATCGTAATATGGGCTTACTATCCCTACACCACAATGTAATTGTGTTTGACACGCAAATTTAGTCTTCCAAATAAAAAAATAAGTGCAATCATGGGATTTATATAAAAATTTTGGCTCACCTAATCCATGTCCACAACGAAATTCTATCAAAGTGTTACGAGTAAAATTACCATTATGGCATGGATCGCCATCACTGTAATTCAAAAATATAATTCCGTTATTGTATATCAAGTGACTGTTCAGCTTTCCACCACTCCAGTGTCGCTTTATGCCATTTAATTCTTCTTCACACATGCCTGAATCAGCACCACATGGACTAGAATCATTATTACCACACACACTGAGGTAATATTGATGATTATCTTTTTCATACCTGAATAATCCACGGTTTCTCAAAGGTGAGAGGTTAAACAAATACCCAGTTAAAGGGTCTTCAACTGTGCAATTAACAGAGGCCTTCATTGATTCACTTTCACAAGCATATACTGTATGCCAATCAAAATAATATATACATCCTTCTGTTCCTAAAACTTCTGGCTTGCTGTCTATGCTGTTATGATCACAAATAAATTCAATAACTGTCTGCATGAATCTTATCGTTTCTGTTCCTTCTGCATCACATGGATCTCCAGAAGTATACTTTAATTTTATCTTACCATTATCTATATATGGTCCTTGACTAATTCTACCAAGATTTACAGGTTCATCAACAGGATGGTTTGAAATATCAACTAAACATGAAGCCGAAGCAAAAGGACAAACAGAATGTGGCGTGTGCACCACAATACTGCATACATTAATCACAAATTGTTTTTCATATATAGGATGTTTAACATAATAATTGCCATTACGTAGAGATAATTTGCTTAAATCATAATATGCACCGTGCTCATCTATAACAGAACACTGTATAATATCAAATAGAGGGCATGCATGTACAGTAGGTCACTCAAATAAGAATGTACAATCTTTACTTTCTAATACAAAATATGGTCCAACTTCTTCAGGGCCAAGCTGACAAGTAAAAGTAATTTCCGTTGAATAACTGCATTTCCCATCGCGGTAGTCTGTGTCTGAAGTATATTTAAGCAAAATTCTTCCATTTCGATAAATAAGTCGATCATTCGGCAGACCAAGACTTTTTGAAAATGCAGGATCTTTAGGTTTCGTTTGACAAGCACTTGAATTAACACATGCATTCTGTAAGCCATTCAATTTATGACAAACACTGAAATAGAATTTATATTCACCTACCATTACATTATATTTATTATTACTCTTCAGAGGATTTAAATCGAAAATGTATCCAAAGAAAGGTTCTTTTACTGAGCAAGCACTGCCAACACTGCTTTGAATAGGGCATGCGACAGGAGTTGCTAATGAGAAAATATATTCACATTCTGGTGTTTCCCCTATAAATTTTAGATCTTCTTGTTCTCCAGAACAGAACAAATTTACTATTGTACTACGCCTGAATTCACCATTATGACAATAAGATCCATGCGTATAATAAAGAACTATGATACCTTTACTATTAACAAAAGGCTTATTCAACTGAGAGCCGAGATCATGACCTATACTTTCGTTTTGCAAAGCATTAGTTACACAAGCTCCGGAAGAGCCAGAAGGACATATATAAGATGATACCTTGTTCAATGGTCGACAAAAATTTATATGGTATCTTAAATGTGAATACCTTGGTCTATTGTCAATAGCCTCCCAATTTCTCTTCCTGTATTTTGCAAGAGGATTTAAATCATATTCATTACCATATTCATCAATCACATTGCAGTCAAAATGTGAAGGGATACAAGTAAGAGATGTCTTCATCTCGAAAATTAATTGGTCATTCCTGTAATCGTTAGTTATTAATTTCGGATTTAGATCTGCTGTTGTTTTATTACATGGAAACTTTATTATTACTTCCCTACCGTAAACTCCATCAGGTTGGTAAGAGATTGACAAATCACTTCCAGTCGAATAGCTAAGGAAATATGAATTTGACACAGCTATGTTATATATTAATTTGCCTTTTGAATCAGTTCGACACACACTGACACGTTTAGATTGTTGTTTCCCACCAGAGGATAAACACCCAGATACCACTCTACCACATATATTAAGCTGGTAAGTAGTGTTAAAGTCTACCTTTACTCTGTATGGCTCATTGGATTTCCAAAGAGGAGTCAAATCAAAAGTAAAACCAGAATCAGGATCAGTAAGCTGGCAACTTTCAAAAGACTGCACAATGCCAGTCGAACAAGCAGCTTTTGTTGACCAGAAAAAAACATATTCACATGCATCAACTTTATTTAAATACTGTAGATAATTGTTTCCAATTTTATCTTCTGCACAGACAAAATGTATTGTTGTCGAATAAGTAACGTTTTTACCATATGCAGTGCAAATATTTCCATTAGTGTACTTAAGAATAAGATGACCAGGACCCTCTAAAACTAGAAGAGTACTTGACTGTCCTAAATTAGATATAACAGCCCTCTCATTTTCACCAACTTTTTCAACCATACATGCAGCAGCTTTTGCGTCACAAGTTAACGGCTCAGCGAAAGGTCGGCAAACACTCAAATAGATCCCCATTTCTTTATTACCTTTATTTGCAACTGGTACCCAACTTTTCTCATAAGCCGATAATAATGACACGTCGTAAATTAAATGAGAAAATAGATCTTGTACCATGCACTCAATCGAAGCACCCTCAACTTCTAAAGCGCCTTTTGGGCATGCTTCAGAAGTGTGCCATTAAAATTTGTACTGGCATTCTGACTCATCTATATAAACCAATATTGGCTTAGAATTAATGTGCCCGTGTTGGCAAAAAAAGTCAATAGTTGATTTCCATCTCTTTCCGCCTTCACAAAGGCTTCCCCCAATATAGGTCAACCTAGTTGAATCTGAAATTAAATCATAAATGGGTGGCACAGTGAAGTTTCCTATATTCAAATATTTACCACTTCTGCCCAAAACACACGCAGAAGAACCTGGACCACAACTACTTAAATTACCTAAATATGACACTTGGCCACATACATTCATGTAATACTTAGCATTATGTTCCTTGTCTATATTTCTTTGGTCAGTGGCTTCCCAAGCTTCTCCTTTCCTTAAAAATAATTCTTTTAGATTAATTTCTTTATTTTTAAAATAAATAGAGCAGTAGTCCCTCCGTTTCAAAACCGTAGATTCAACCGAAGGCTTCAAACATGCATGTTTTGTTCTCCATTCAAATATATGAGTGCAAGAATCTGAAGATAAATGAGAAGGCTCCCCAACTCCATTATTACTAGCTTTAGAATCACAAAGAAATTTTATTACAGTTGAGTGATTTGTAACATTATCACATGATTCTCGGCTAGGATAAGTTAAAGTCACTATACCATGTGAATATACAAGATGTGATCCTTCCGTCGTATCAACTATCACAGATGAATTTGTTCGTTTAGTTGCACAAACAGCAGTTGATTTCAAATTTTTACCACTGCAAATAAAATTTCTAAGTCCACCACAAACACTTAAAGCATATGTGGAATACCTAGCGGACCATGAACTGGAAACATTAAAAACAGGTTTCCTTTTCAAAGGCGTTAAATCTATTTCAACTCCATGAGATTCTCTTGTAAACTGACAAGTTTCCAAACTTCCTTTTAAGTTTTGAGGACAGGCATATTCAGTATACCACTCTACTTTATACTGACAGTTATAGTTAGATATCAATGCTGGCCGACTACTATGATGTCTTGGAGAACATTTAAATATAATGGTTGTCTTAGGTATGAGACTACATCCCTTAGGTGGCTGTGAATATATTTCATCTGCTAAATAAGACAAAATTAGTCCTTCGTGGGTGTATTGAAGGCGCCCATGAGGTTTTCCAAATGATAAATAATTATTCCAATCAACTCTGCATGCTGACGAGTTTGAGCCACAGCCTTCATCACCAGATATCTCAGAACAAACATTGACTGTAAAATCAAAATTTTTTAGATATCCAACTACAACAGAATAGCCTCCTTTCTTAAAATGAGATGAGACAAATCTCGCTTATTACCTTCATGATCAATGACATAGCAAGGAACTTGATGGGATTTGGGTTTGTTGAAGCAAGCAGCTGAGGTTCTCCACCAAAATTTCAGTCTACAGTCAGTCCAAAATATAAGTTCTGGTGCGCCAAGATTTGGTCCACATTCAAACTCTATTTCAGCTCCTCGAATTTCGTTCAAAAGTGAATCACACGAATTATATGTGTGAACATATAGTGTAAAACCATTGTCATCATTGTCCAAAATTAAATAATTAAAACGTGTTTCAATGGCATTTCCAAAACTAAGTGCGTTTCCACCTGAAATTTGACAAATGGAACTTTTTGGACAACCTTGGCTAAGAGAAGCTGAAGTATAATTGAGAGGATTACATACACTAATTTCATAGTACGTAGAAGTTCCATTTATCTTTGGTCCAGATACTGGCCAACCACCTGGCCTAAAAAGGAAATAAAACTTACTGATAATCATTTATAGCTTCATACAGAAAATAAAAATTTTGAAACCATTTATATAAATATTTTTGGCTCTGAGCAAAGCAGCATTGTAAATAACATGGCTTTTAGGCAGTCACTCGGTTACAAATTGATGCACTAAAAATGTACAAAGGATAATTTCCGTTTGTTTTTTAAAACAATGCAAAATCCCTTTTGATTTAGGCATAATTTCTTTTAATAAACCCTATTTAAATTATAGAATTAAACAATTTCAACGTATAATTTGCAATCTAATATAAATTTATCAAGTTTTAAAATCGAATTATTCAATAGCAAAAGCTTAACGAAATGTTTATAAAAAAATTATTTTTATGTTACAGATATGTTACTTTTACAGTCAACAACATAAAAAACGCTGAAATTTTATAATGAAAAGGTTTGTTTAATATTGTTAAAGACTGTAACAGTAGCTAAAATAAATAAATTTTTCAGAAAAAAATTCCTTTCAGAAAAAAATTCCTTTGCATAAGGCTTCGAAATATTTCCTTGTCAAAATAAATGTTTATTGAAAAAGATCTCCAGAATTCCTGTCAGTCATACATAAAAATTCATCTTCATAATGCAGAACATAATAATAATCTAAAGTTAAATGTCTATTTAAACAGTAAACCCGAGAAATGGCTTTTCAGTTAGAACATCAGAATTACATATATATAATAAATATAAGCATGATGGAAAAATATGCATCTATGGATTTGCCGAACATGAAGTTACAGAAAATACTCTATTCCTGGAACAAAATTAAAACTCTCAAATTTTGAAAATGTTTCAAATCCCTTTTTTTCCCATAAACATCTCATTAAATTTCTTTATGAGTAATAAAATGTTTCAACTATACTAAGAGATTTTAAAAATAACCACAACTTGGGAAAGACGACTGGCAGACAAAAATACCATCTTTCAGGCAGAGCTGTTTGCATTAAAAGCAGTGATCAATTTGGCAAAATATCAATTAGGATTAAAGGTCAACATATATAGTGATTCTGCCTCAAGTCTGGAGTCCATCCGAGGGCACAAAACAAGGAGTCCTTTGGTGCAAGATATTCAGAAAATTCTTCTAAGTATCCCACCAGATGACAGACCTATCCTGATCTGGGTTCCAGCTCATGTGGGTATTACTCGAAACGAAGCGGCGGACCTGCTTGCGAAATCTGCTGCCAATGACCGCAGTAGATTGGAAAACGCAGTCCTATTTAAAGAAAAACCACGTTCAATAGCCTTTTACAAGAATGGCAGAAAAGATGGGAAAGGGAAAGCACGGGGAGGAGAACCTACAAGTTCTTTCCCAAAGTCACGTGCTCAGTTAATACATACAGCGGAGCACAAACTCAATTCTACACTGGCCATGGTCCCTTCCCACATTATCTTAAGAGATTCGGCATACGAGCATCAGATTTGTGTGGATGTGGTGCCTTAGGTGATGCAGATCACTTCCTCTTCAATTGCCCACAAACCGATAAACTGCATTTAAAAATGCCAAGCAGTGAATACTGGCCGCAATGGGCGGAGAATACCTGCGGCAACAAACAGACGAAAACTAAAATAGAGGAGGTAATCAGGCTTTGCTCAGCAAGATACTAAGAAATTCTCCCCCTCCCTTGAGAATTGTGTCTTCGCAGCATAATTTTAATAGCAATTCAAAATACTACAACAACTGAATATCAACACTAAAAAAATAGCTCACTCCGTAGAATAATAACAGGACTGTAAGAGCAAAACTATTGTAATGTAATCATATTACTATCCAGTTTGTATGTACTTGATAAAAATAATATTGTAAATCAATTTAAATGTATTGAAAATCCAGTCAATGTGTAAATGAATTACAAGTTTAATTTGATTATCTCAGTAAAAGTATTGTGAATATGAATTCATATAATGTTTAAATGTACACATAGCTGTCATGATTTTATGTATCTATCATATGTAACTTGTACAACAAGGATGTCAAACTCGCGGCCCGCATGCGGCCGACAACAAATATTTTTGCGGCCCGGCCAATATATCGGCAAATAATAATATATAATAATAAAATAACATATCGACGAAGAAAAAAATGAAATGTTTACTGCTAAGTAATTAACGATAATTTATTCAGTGTTGTTAGATTACTCACAGCGAGCTGACACACACACTACTTAAATTACAAATGCGTGTGAGTAGCTTGCGTTCAACTACCTTCGGCTTTTGGGGTACACGTGCACTCAGAACTTGTACGCATCCCCCGATAGCCGAACTCATGGTCTCAGTTTTTCCAGTCATAGTTTTGTACGATATATTGGTGCATGCACTTTGCTTTATTATTAATTATTACTTAATTCATATTGTTACGGATTTCATAGTTATTTATTTATTTAGTTTTTTTTTTTTTTTTTTTTTTTTTTTTTTTTATTTAGAATTGTAATTAGATTTGCTTCATGTTGCCTTAGCAACGCAGACGATTTTTGAAAAGACAGCTGCGTTGGAAGGTTAAAAATAGAACAGCGCGTGCATTTAATACCTAATTATAAAATATCTCGTAATTGCTGTTGCCATTCACAAAAATCCAGATATTTATAGATGTTTCCAGTATATTCGAGAAATTAATTATAAAGCTTATAAAAGACGAGAACAAACAACTCATCTCAGTAGTAGCTGTAGTTCTAGCGAACTGTTTGTTTACTTAATGCTGTGATTGATTTGTAGAGATTTCGCTGTGAGATAGAATTAGTTTCTCTGTTTTGAATTGATTTTTGCTAAACGTTTGACATTTTGTGATATTGTTAGAATATTTTTCAAGAAATATTTCAGCATTTTGATTTATCTCTTGTGGAAAGAATAAATTTTTGTTAACTTTTTAACATTAACCGTGTTTATTCCAGCCCTTTGTATTCAGTATGTCTATATCAAAACCAAGTGCTAGTAAAATTAAACCAAAAATCGCTGACGAACATAGAATATTCCAAGTAAAATGGGAATTAGAATATTTTTGCTGTGAAATAAAAGATAAAATAATCTGCTTGATATGTAATAATACTATTAATGTACCAAAGTTATATAATATTAAACGTCATACGAACAACACAAATCGAAATATAACAATTACGAAGGATTAATGAGAGAAGAAAAGTTGAAGTTGAAAGAGCTCAATCAAGTTAGGAGTGAAAAAGCAACAGTCCATGTTTAGTAAAGTATTGCAAGAAAGTGAAGCGGCGGTACATGCAAGCTACGTCTTGTCCGAGTTGATAGCTAAACATTCGAAGCCTTTTACTGACGGTGATTTCATCAAGGAATGCCCAATGAAAGCTGGAGAAATTGTTTGTCCTGGAAATGTGAAGGCTTTTCAATCAATTTCATTGTCTCGAAATACAGTTGCAAAAAGAGTTACTGATTTAGCCGCGAATTTAAGTGATCAGATCAAAGCAAAATCATCTAGTTTCGAAAGTTTCTCCATTGCCTGTGACGAGAGCACGGACAATTAGTTTCAAAGCTCAATTAGTAGTGTTTCTTCGTTCTTGTGACAAGAATTTTAACATTTTTGAGGAATTACTGGAACTAATACCGATGTCTGGTACTACCACAGGAGAAGATATATTTACTTGTGTTTTTGGACTTCTGCAGAAATACAATCTACCTTTGGCAAAACTAAATTCTGTAGCTACAGATGGCGCTCCATCAACGACCGGGAAAAACAAGGACTTCGTAGCATTACTAAGAAAACATTTAGTGAAATTCACGGTTCAAACATTCATCATATGCATTGTATTATACATCAAGAAGTTCTATGCACGAAAGTAATAAATATGGGAGAATGTTTTGTCATATATAAAAAAAAGTTATAAATTTTATAAGATCTCGAGGTTTAAATCAGCGTCAACTCACTGCTTTCTTAAGTGAGTTAGATGGTGAATATTCGGGTTTGTCCTACTATACCGAGGTACGTTGGTTATCTTGCTCCAAGATTCTCAATCAATTCTGGGATTTGAAAGAAGAAATATGTCAGGTTTAAAAACGAAAAATTAAGATGTAAGTTTGTTTTACGATCCAATATGGATACAAGATTTATCTTTCTTGGTTGATATAACCAAACACTTAACCGATTTAAATTTATCGTTACAAGGAAAAGATCATATCATTACGAACATGTTTGACATAATTAAAGCATTCAAATGTCAACTAGTTCTTTGGGAAAAACAACTTAAAAATGAAGATTTGACGCACTTCCCGACGTGCAGCATGAATAAATCAAGTTTAGATGATACTTGTTCGTATCAAAAATACGCAGAAAAAATTGCGAATTTAACAACTGAATTTGAAACGAGGTTTAATGATTTTAGTTCCCTCGAAGACAATTTTTTTTTTTTTTTTTTTTTTTTTTTTGTTTTCTTCGATTTTTCTCAATAAGTATTGACTCAGTACCCAGCCATATGCAAATGGAGATGATCGAGATTCAATGCAACACAAATTTGAAAGCAAAATTCATTGAAGTGGGCGTGCCTGAATTTTACAAATATTTACCAACCAGGTTTGAAAATACTCGAAAATTCGCATATGAAATTATTTCCATGTTTGGTAGCACTTATCGGTGTGAGCAGTTATTTTCAGTCATAAAAGGTAATAAGTCTCCTATTAGAAACCGTATTAATGATGCTCACCTTGGGTCAGCGTTGAAAGTTATCACTGCAAACAAAATTTCTCCCGAAATAGGAAAGAAAATAGCAGAGAAGAGATGTCAAGTATCAGGACGTAAACATTAAATTTTTCTTGTTCTTTTCTATATAAATATATATAAATGTTTATTATTGTATTATTCGAAATAAATCTACGTTTCTATGAATATTGATTTTTTTTTTTTTTTTTTTTTTTTTTTCGGCTCGCCTAAAGTTAAACCTTGTTTGTTTGGCCCAAGTGTACCTATGAGTTTGACATCCCTGTTGTACAAGACAATTATTGTAATCAACAT